GAAAAGGGATAATGAAGCTTCTTCATGTATAAAACAGCATATTAAATTGGAGATATTGAAGGGGTGCCTGGGTGGCTCAGGTGGCTAAGCATCCAACTCTTGATTTGGACTCAGGTCATGATCTCGGGTTAGTAAGATTGAGCCCCGAGTTGGACTCCATGCTCAGTGCAGAGTCTGCTTAAGATTCTCTCTCCCTCTGCTTCTGCACCATCCCCTCCACCACACTTGTGTGTGCGTGTGTGTGTGCATTCTCTCTCTTTCTCTAATAAATAAATAAACCTTTAGAAAATAACTGGAGATATTGATGAATCAGCTATCACAGTAATATTGTATTAAAATCATATTTAAGGTAGCTGCTTTTATGTGTATTTTATTATGTTTGCTTTTGTAAAAACAATACTGGGTGATGAAAGATTAGACAGAAAATGTTCATCTGTGCAGAGGGTATATTTTCTTCATTAACTGTTCTGGAAAAAAACTCACAGGTTATATATATGGTATTTTCCAAAAGGATTATTAATAGAACCTTTTGAGATGAAATAGTTTAAGACTATTTTATTTTTTAATTTAATTTTATTATGTTACATTAATCACCGTACATCATTAGTTTTTGATGTAGTGTTCCATGATTCATTGTTTGCGTATAACATCCAGTGCTCCATTCAATACGTGCCCTCTTTAATACCCATCACCAGGCTAACCCATCCTCCCACCCCCCGCCCCTCTAAAACCCTCAGTTTGTTTCTCAGAGTCCATAGTCTCTCATGGTTCGTCTCCCCCTCCGATTTCCCCCCCTTCATTTTTCCCTTCCTACTATCTTCTTCTTTTTTTTTTTTAACATATAATGTATTAGTTTCAGAGGTACAGGTCTGTGATTCATCAGTCTTACACAATTCACAGTCTCACCATAGCACATACCCTCCCCAATGTCTATCACCCAGCCACCCCATCCCTCCCACCCCCACCACTCCTGCAACCCTCAGTTTGTTTCCTGAGATTAAGAATCCCTCATATGATACATGTCTTACTCTGACTGACTTATTTCGCTTAGTATAATACCCTCTAGTTCCATCCATGTCATTGCAAATGATAAGATTTCATTATTTTTTTAAAAGATTTTATTTATTTATTCATGAGAGACAGAGAGAGAGAGCGAGAAGCGGGCTCCCAAGGAGCAGGGAGCCCGATTCAGGACTCGATCCCAGGACCCTGGGATCATGACCTGAGCCGAAGGCAGACGCCTAACCATCTGAGCCACTCAAGTGCCCAAGATTTCATTATTTTTTGATGGCTGGGTAATATTCCATTATATATATATATACCAATTCTTCTTCATTCATTCATCTGTCAATGAACATCTAGGCTCTTTCCATAGTTTGGCTATTGTGGACATTGCGCTATAAATATTGGGGTGCAGATGTCCCTTTGGATCACTATGTTTGTATTCTTTGGTAAATAAGGTCATCCCATTTAAGATTTTTTTTTCTTTCTTTTTTTTTTATTTACTTATTTGACAGAGAGAGGGAGGCAGTGAGAGAGGGAACACAAGCAGGGCGAGTGGGAAAGGGAGAAGCAGGCTCCCCGCCGAGCAGGGAGCCGGATGCGGGGATTGATCCCAGGACCCTGGGATCATGACCTGAGCCGAAGGCAGAAGCTTAACGACTGAGCCACCCAGGTGCCCCAAGGTCATCCCATTTAAAACACACACACGTGTGTACGTATCTGATTGATGAGGGAGGTGTGCCTTTCATTGTGTATAGGTCTTATAATTCATAAACAGAATCTGTATCTCAGAATAAAAATATTTTTACATATTTAAAGTCATGCATGGTAAAGAGTGTGTTTAAATTATTATAAACAACAGCACATCATAAAAGATTATGCTGATCTTGTGTAACTAAGGACTATCAGTGGATTTGGTTGGTATTTGGTGTTGTGCAACTCACATGTTTACATACTCGGGGCCCTCATTTCCCCTGAGGGAATGACCTTTTAAGTGGTCCTCAAAGTGGTGTTTTAAGATTACTTTACCCCAGAGCTCTTTGGTTTTTGACTTCTGCACTTAATTTTATTTATTTATTTATTTATCAGAGAGAGAGAGAGAGCATGAGCAGGGGCAGCTGCAGGCAGAGGGAGAAGCAGACTCCCTGCTGAGCAGGGAGCCCGATGTGGGACTCGATCCCAGGACCCCGGGATCATGACCTGGGCCAAAGGCAGACGCTTAACTGACTGAGCCACCCAGGCATCCCTGCACTTAATTTTTTAATAACATGATGATGATGGTACATTTTCCTCTATTGCTTCCAGCTAGGGGCTTTCATTCCACCAGTAATTAAGATAAAATGTTATTAGGGGCGCATGGGTGGCTCAGTAGGTTAAGCGGCTGCCTTTGGCTCAGGTCATGATCTCAGGATCCTGGGATCGAGCCCCACATCGAGCTCCTTGCTTGGCGGAGAGCCTGCTTCTCCCTCTGCCTCTGTCTGCCACTCTGCCTACTTGTGCTCTCTCTCTCTCTCTGTTAAATAAATAAATAAAAATCTTAAAAAAAAAAAGATCAACGGTTATTAAATGTTCATATTGCCATCCTTCTATAAATACTCGATTTTTCCTATCATTTAGCACACCACTGCTTAATGCCAGCATTAAGATCAGGAGTCCTTTTTCTCCTTGAGTGCAGGCTTTGAAAACTTTTATTAAGTCATTGATATAGTTTGATATTTTTCCATAGTCTATATTTTAAAAAATTCCATCATGGCATCATCTTTTCTAAACTCATCCCCATTAAAACTTGCCTTAAGCTACCAGTTTGCCTTTGCCGCCACTAGCCATACTGTATGTTTGTTTAATTTACTTTCACAATAAACTCCTGTGTTGTGAAAAATAAGTAAATGTATTACAATCAACACATGACTATGCACAGAATACACTCTGGTCCTTATCTCATGTGAGGGCATCTCTGCTTCTATCCTGCTGGGGACAGTGGTATCACAGGCGAGCCTGGCAGGTCCCCATTAGCTGGGAACTCCCTGAGCAGGGACCATCTCCCTCCTTCATTTGGGGGCTTCTCCTAGGGCAGGTGTCCTGTTTCCTTTCTTCTCTTCCTTCTGCTCCAATGGTGACTTTATAAGACATGAATGGAAGTACAATATGCATACAGAAAGGTGCACAGATCGTGAGTACACAGCTCGCTGACTTCAACAGACCTTGGAAGGGGAGCTCCGGTCAAGAAACAGAACATTGTCAGTGCTCCCCAGGTCCCTTTTCCTCTTTAGCCCCGCCTCCAGCCCTGTTTCATTAAGAGAGAGACTCCGACTCAGCTGAGAGTTCCTGGGGGCCTGCCCCCTGCTAGCACTTTCAAAATCACAGCGGCCTTATTAGATGGTTGCCGCAACCCTGGGGGCAGATGTTATCCCCACTTACAGTCAGGGAAGCTCAGGCTCGGAAAGGGTAAGTGAATTGCAGGGGTCAAGGGGTCAACAAGTGGTGGAGATTGGTCTTCTCAAGCGAATTGCGTGTCACATTTGACCATCACATTCTTTAATTTGTGCAAAGAAGGGTGATCAAGAGTTCATGGTAGGGTCTATATGTCATCAGAAATAGATGTGCGTGGACATCTCTGAAATTTGCCTGGAAACATCCCTTGCTTCTTCTGGGGACTTTGTCTACATTATTCAAAATGCTTCCTGAGGGAGCTTCCAGGTTCTCCCAGGGCCCTGCTGCGGGCCACAGTTGGCTGGTCCAGGAGTGGGTCAGGGATTCAAGGAATTCCTCTGGGAATTCTGGTTTCCTTCTTTCTCTGGAAGTGTGAAAGTTGGCTGTCTGTGGTCAGTAATGTGGAGAAAGCCGGCGTACAGTGAGAGAGGGGGTGGGGGACAGAAGCAAAGCGGGAATGAGAAGAAGCCAAAACGGCCTAGTGATGTTTGGATGCTGGCTTCCAGCTGACCCGGAGGCCCTGCCCCATCTTTCCCCTTCCTGCAGCTGGGTGGCAGTGTGACATGCCCCCCACC